GGGATTTGGCTCCCCGTGAAGGCCCTGCTGGGTTCAATTCCTGAAAACTCTTGGGAAAGAGAAGGAGGGAGGGAAAGAGGGAGGGAGGGAGACAGAAGAAAGAAGAAAAGTAAACTCTTTGACATGATGTAGGTAAACACATTAGACACCATTTGGGGAGTTTTGCAAATATCCTACAAATTTCTTTCCTTCCTATTCCTTCCCTGCCCTGAAAGTGTTGTGTGTGAATTTAAGAAAAGTTAATTGGTTTTTTGAGATGTAACAGCAGATACTCTCAGGATGACATAAAACCATAATGGGAATTACTGAACTAGTTAGTGTCGATTAAAATGTGTTAGAGTACGGAATAGACATTTTAAAAAGCAGATTGAATTGAGATTTCCAAGAAGAATCATCTCCTAGGTAGTAAGAAAACCTTTTGTTTTTACTTCTGTATCCAGATATCATTATTTTATAATTGTATTAAATAAGATTTAGGGAGTCTCTTTACCACCCCTCTTTTTTTGCAGTACTGGGGACTGAACCAGTACCTTGCACATGCCTGGCAACAGCTTAGCCTTGGAGCTACATCTCCAGCCCCTTAATTTGATTTTTGAGACACGGACTCCCTGAATTACCTAGGCTGGCCTCCAACTTTTGATTCTCATCTCAGCCTCTCACGTAGGTGGGATTACAGGCCCGTGTGACCACATTAGGTTCTCCACCCTTCTTCTGACATTTTTTTCCCTATTATATAAAGTGGTATATAGCAAGTGGCTAAAAAGAAAACCAGAGAACTCTAGGGTTCTTTTCCCTTCCCAATTCTCTTCACCTTTATTTCATATTTTTTCCCCTTCTTGAAATGATTTTCTAAACTGGTGAAATGCTTTTAAATGTTGAAGAACTTCCAAATATATGCAAAAACAAATAACAACCTCTGACTGGAAAGTCATTGGTTTTTGTGCTTTTTGCAACTTGTATGAACTTTGTCAACTGATCTAACAGCTTTTATGCTTATTACACGGGGCTCCAGAGCAGTGCCTGGCTCACAGTTCAACTGGAGAGATAAAACAGCACACAATCAAGCGCTGAGGGAACATGTAAGTGTGCAAGGCTGTTCAAAAAATACACGAATGAAGCTGGGTGTTGTGGTGCAGGCCTGTAATCCCAGAGACAGAAGGAAGATCGAGTTTGAAACCAACCTAGGCAACTCAGGGAGACCTCGTCTCAAAATTCGAAAAGTGAAGAAGGGCTGAGGATACAGCTTAGTGATGCCTGGGTTCACTTCTCAGAACAAACAAAGAAAAACAAAAACAAAGAAAGAAAGGGAAAGAAAAAATATATGAATTAGGGCTGGGGATTTAGCTCAGTGGTTCCGGCGCCTGCCGCGCAAGCACAAGGTCCCGAGTTTGAGCCTCAGCACCAAAAAAAAAAAACAAAAAACGAGTAAAAATAAATCAATAAGTGAGTATGCTGATATTTACAAAAACAAAGGGTTTATGTTGGGGAGTTACATTAGAAAAAATGGTGATTCAGATTGTGGGCACCCTGAATGTCTAGCTAAGCAGCACATCTTTATATGCCACAGAAAGGAATTAAAGGCTTTAAAGAAAGGTGGAGTAGGGAGATTAATTTACTAGTGGAAGGTGGCATGGTTTTGAAGAGTAGAGCCTGGTGGCAACAGGAGGCTACTGGGTATGAATTAATGAGGGCATGCAGTAGGATGGCTGATCTGGCAACATAAAGGAAGGGCAGAGCAGAAGGAAGACTGTTGGAGTCCAGACCACGGGGGAGGGTACATGAGGGTCCAAGCCTGAACTAGTTGGAAAATGTTGGTTTCACTAAAAGAATGAAGAGGGGCTGGTTTGGGAAAAGGTAGGATGCTTGCACATTTGAGTTGTTGTCAGGGCACGCAGGCCCTGATGTCTAAAGTAGATAACTGCCACCACATAACTGACAGTATGTATGCCTCTGGTCCCAGGTAGGCTTGGGTGGGGCTATTAGAAAGTTTTGCCCACTCAGCCTTGTCCCTTTCAGGCAGGAGAGAGCATCTGCTGTAGAGCATTACCAGTCCTCAAGGGACCCATGAGTTAGTCAGGAAGCATAATTTTAATAGGATTAGCTGAAAGATGAGCAAATGTCAGGTGGTGGTTTGGTAGTATGTCATGGCTGCTAACTTTGACATGTTAAGTATACCATATTGATGGCTTTTACGCCTGGCTAAAAGGGTTAACACTCAGCAAATTAGATTTTCCTCAATTTTTGTCCTGGTGTTACATTTTATGGGTATGACAGAATGGGTTACCTGGGGCAAACCTCTTAACCTCTCTATAAATAGGAAGCTTGTCATGGCAGCATTCATAAACATTTTGAAAGCTACAGATAAAAACCACTGTAGACCTCCCCCTCCCCCAACGACTGAGTCAGTCAGTTGGAAAGGTCAGCCTTTTCTTTGGGTTCTTTCAATTTTGCTAACTCCTTTAGTTAATTAGCATTTTCTCCAAATGCTCCAGACAGTCCAGAGCTCAAAGATGTAGTCTGTAAATGCTTTTGTTCTACTTTCTGGGCCTACCCATCTTGCTGGCCCCCTTCAACTGACTGACTGTTGGTTGCCCTGTGCCTTTCATACCTAGGCTCCAGAATCAAGCCTAGCGATACTAATGGGGAATCAGAGTTCTGTTCTATGACTCGGGGACCTCAGCATAAGGCCACTGTGCTCAGTGTGAAATTCAGCCCCATTTCTAGGTATTATGCTACTGCTTTTTCAAGTATCACTTTGTCCTCTAGATCAGCCTTTGGATAATCAATTGTCTTGTTCTCCTGAGTTCCCCAAAATGGTCTAGAATATCAGCTCAAGGACCTGAATTTGGACCTGGAAAACTTCAGCAATGAGGCCAGGGCCTTGCTATAAGTAACACATTTTCTCAATGCTTGCCATGATTTCCCCATTTTTGCTTGCTCCTGGATTTCCCAAGGCTTTGTTCCAGCTGTCCATTGGTTTACAATGCTCACATTCTCTGCTCAACCAGCCTGCGCTAGCTGCTTTTCTGGCTTGGCGCCAGTTCCATATTCTTCAGATACTATCTTCTGGCTGAACATTTATCAGGCCAGCTGGGTCTACCTCTCATTCCATGGATGTATCTAGTTCGAGTCTCCATTTCTCCCAGTCTACCTCACCCTTATTATACTTAATCCTTTCATATTAAACCACATCGGATGTTTTCTGGTGTGGAATCTGATTTGGTATTGGAATTTTATCCTTGTTTACATCTTTCTTTGTGTGGGAAAGCTTGGGATCACATCCAAAATCTCCTCCAAGAGCTTTCCTGTCTCCTTTAGGAGAAACAAATTAAAACTTGACAATACCTTGGGTTTGCAACCAAGCCACAAGACTCCTACTTTAATTTTAACATTACATTCTCCAATCTCAATTTTGCTTCTAGATATATTTTGAAATATATTTTGGCCTTGTTCATTCACATCTGTCAGTTTTAAGATACCTACTTCATAGGAACTCAATGGCTCTGTGAGTATAAGAAAATAAACAAATCAAGACTGTTTCACAGTGGTAGTTCAACCTTGAAGGTCTCCTGGAATCCTTCGGAAGGCTTCTTAAAATAGATTGCTAGGGCCCACCACCCTGTTTCCGGAGAGCAGTGCTTGAGAATTGGAATTTCTAACAAGTTCTTAGGTGATGTCCCTTAACTTCACTTTGAGAACAAGTGGTCATATATTTAAGCTAACCACAGGTAACCAGAAGTTATCAGTTCAAATTCTTACCCAAGTGGATAGGTAGAGAGCACTGAAAAAATACAAACTTTGAAATCTCCGTGTGGTGAGGATGACTGCTTGACAGCTGAGTTCTCAACCACTTATTACTTTGGACAGTCATTTAGCGCCCTTGAGTGTAAGACCCCTCACTCATAAAGGGAGAAGGGCCTGTTTATGCTGGCCTCACAGCAGTGCTGTGAAGGTTAGATGCAACCGCTGAGGAAATATTTGTACATTATAAAGTAGCATGCTACTCGGGAATATTGCGATGGTTTTTCACTATTCACCTTACAATGTCACTGGTTTCTTTGGCTGTCTCGCTTCCCTCAATGACAGCAACTTTAATCTGGGAATATAGAGTACTTTCACTGCTCTGATAAACTCAACCTTCAAACTTTTAAAAAAAGAAATTCATTCAATGAGATCAGACATGCACAGAGCCAAGAATGATTCGCAGTTTTCACAGCTATAAAAAGTACAAGACACTATTGTAACTTGGGGTGGAGTCACAGTTAATCTTTCAACCCTGTTTAGATTGGCCCATTGATAAAAAATGGCTGCTAAAAATAAAGTTATGGTGCACAAGAGATAACTTGCCGGCTCCATGCTTTTATATCTCTTCCAACTTCTATCAATTTGTCTCTTTGAAAGTAGTAAATCCTTGCAATTCTGGATGTGCCTTTCTTTCACTCAACTCGTCTCTGGGTAGGCTCCAAAAGCCTACGCAAACTGTGTGCATTTGTGGTTTTTCAGCGATGCCACTAGCCGCACCTAATTCTCCCAGGCCTTCAGAGTTCCTGGCTTCAATCGTTCCTCGGTCTTTCATACCACAAAACATCAGCCAGGGTGCTTTTCTGAAGACAAAGCCTATACAGTAGATCTTGGCTGCAGAAAGACCCAGTTCAGGCACTAAGTGAACTCGCCAGGTTCGTCTACCAGGGACACAACTTGGGTCCCCTGGGGCCCCCCAGCCGGTCACCGCGCCCTCCGCAGACTCCGGCCTCGGCCGCGCGGCCTTCTCCTGGGCGCCGGCAGGAGGCGCCCGCGCGCCCTACAGGCCCCACTCAGAGGGCGGGGGAACAGGAGGGGAGGAGCCGGCGGGGGCGCGGCTTCCTCCGCGTCCCTCCCGGGCGCCGGGTCGCTAGCTCCGCTAGGCCCAAGCTGGCGGCCGGCGGGAATCGCGTCGGCGGTGGCGGCGGCGGCGGCGGCGGTGGCGGCGGCAGCAGAGGCGGGGGTGGCGCGGGCCGTGGGCCGGGCTCGGGCGCCTGGTGTTAGGAGACAAGATGGCGGCGGCGCTGTGGAGGCCGGTCTCCTCCTCCCCGTCACCCTCCTCCGCCCCGCCGATCGCCGCCTCCTCCTCCTCCTCCGTCTCCTCCTCCCGGCTCTCTGCCTCCTCCTCCTCCTCCTGCAACAGCACTAGCGGCCGCCGCGGCGCCGGCCCGCTCTCCCGGAGCTCCGGAGGATAGACGGGGCAGCTGCGGGCTCCCGCGACCAGGCCGAGCTGGGGCCGGGGCGGGGACGGCGGCGGCGGCGGCGGCGGCGGCGCCGGGTGGGGATGGGGTCGCAGACGCTGCAGATCCTCCGGCAGGGGGTGTGGGCCACGCTCAGCGGGGGCTGGTATTACGACCCGCACCAGGCCACCTTCGTGAACGCGCTGCACCTCTACCTGTGGCTCTTTCTGCTTGGCCTGCCCTTCACCCTCTACATGGTGAGTGTGAGGGCGGGGTGCCCCTGCGCCCCGGGGCCGCATCCCGGTGTCGGGCTCCCTTCCCCCACGCCGCCTCTCTCGCCTCCCTTTCGGGCTTCCCCTGTTGCAGCGAGGATCAAGTCAACAGCAGCCGTCGCCTTCGCCCCCGGGCCCCCGCCTGCTCCCGGGAACAGCGGATTCCCGGGCCGCTTCCTGGGGGTCTTTAACCTGTGGCCTCCCCAGCCCGACCCCCGCGCCCTGCCCGCCAGGGGTCAGCGCAGGGCCGGGCGGCTCGCCTCTGCGGGGCTCTCCGGATTGGTCTGAGGCCGCTCGCGCGTCTCTGCTCTCCGCTCCGCCGGGCACCTGGGGCGCTCCCTCCTCCCCGGGCGCTCCCTGCGAGGTCCCCCTGCGAGGTCCCCCTCCGCCGCCCCGCCGCGCTCCCTGCCTCGGAGTGGGGAGAGGACGTGTGCACCCCGCTCGGAGCGTGACCGCGTGTGGGCTCCGGGCTCCCGCTCGCTTCGCGGTGTTGGCTGTAAACCTGGCCCGTAACTGTCAGTGCCTCTTGATCTGTGTTTTGCTCGCCGTCGGCTCTTTTCTGTTCGGCTCCGAGGTCAGTGACTACGGCATTTCCAGGCCAGCGTTGGGGAGAGGGAGCGACTGAGATACGGGGAATCTGGCTGGCATTTCAGAGATTTGTTTGGGTTGGTTCGAGGCCTTTGATAGGAAAAAGGAAAGTACAGTACTGCCTGTTGCTTAATCTACTAGGACCAGCTTCTGTGAATATGTTTTTATGCTTATTTTCCCTGAAAGTTTTAAGCGCACTTAAAAAAAAAAAAAAAAGCACAGTAGGTTACAGTGGGGCGTTAGGGAAACTGCTGTGGAGAGAAATGATACTTAAAAGTTTTAGTTAAAAATTTAAAGTAACCGGAAGGAGGAAAGCATAGTAACTTTTATTTTCAGAGAATTTCTTTGAGTATATTTTTGGTAACCTATGGTTTTTCATGGACCTAGACTAAAGTCCCTGAACGCAATTCTACTGAGAAGCGCCAAAAGTGAAGACACTCAATTCTTCCTCAGTGACTCGCAGTTTCACTTAGCCTTATTGGCAGAAAAAATACCTGCTTGGGAGAAGATGTGCTAAATTTCACATTCTCAAGCAGATTCCAATTTTTCTTTGAAATTGTTTTGAAGGGACTCATTGTTTGAGCTTTAAAAAGCTATTTTTAGACGCTTTTTAGGAGACTTGTTGAGTCTTGTCGAATTCTGAAAGTTTTATCATGTAGTGTTATAATTTCAATTAATTCTGGCCTAGGGAGTTCTAATAGAACCACTATACCTTCCAGGAATATGACATCATTCATGAACAGGTTAATTACTTCGGGTGTAAGAATCCTCAGGATGTCAGAGTTTTCATAGCAGATTTCTCTTGTATCCAGGAGAGTTGTAGATTTAAAATGGAAAATGATTCCTGAGCTGTTAGGATTAGTAGTTGCTGTGTCCCAGTGTAAAATTTCTGTGTTAGCATCTACAGTTAACTGTGTGATCATGGTTAAGTCTCTTTGTGTAATTAACAAACACTGCTGAAGGAATATTAGAGCAAATGGAAACCAGTGCATTGAATTTACTTGACTTTGGGAGTTTATCAGTTAAATCGCAAATATTTGAGTACCTACAGTCTACTAGATACTTTGCTGGATCTGGGAAAATAAAATTGCTACTCTGACTTAATTTTTTCAATTAAGGCAATTCCAAGTCTTTTGTTTTTTTTCTTTTTGGCTGTGCTGGGGATGGAACCCAAGGACTCCAGATTGCTAGGCAAGCACTGTACCACTCACTGAGTCATATCCCAGCCCTTCCCAAATCTTTTAAAAGCTCTCCTTGACTTTTCTGTTTCTCTCTTTTCACATCCAGTGCATCAGCAAGCCTAGCTGGTTGTATCTTCAAAACCCAGCCGATACCCAGCTCATTGTCACCACTATCAGCATCACTGTCGTCACTGTTGGTTGAGGGCACCATTCTTTCCGTTCTGGATTCATAAAGTGTTCCAGTGAGGCTCACTGTTTCTGTTCATTATTCTTTATTCTTTATATAGAAGTCTGAGCGATTCTTTCAGATCATGTCACTCTTCTGCCTTTAGAGCCTGCCTTCCCTTGTGTGTCTGTCCCTTTCCCTAACCACACATTTGCTTGCTCAGTGTCTTCCCAACAACTATATGTCTGCCCTTGGGCATTTGCACTTACTCTTCCCTCTGACTTATTCTTCCCAGTACCTGTGTGGCTTTCTCTACTTCAGATTTCTGGTATATGAGGCTTCCCCTGACATCCTTTCTTTTCTGTTCAGCAACAGCAACTTGTGAGCTCTTACCACGCTCTGGAGTCTGCTTACTATTGCTTAAATGGTATGTATCACTAACTGGTATGTGTATTTGTTTAAAGTTTTTGTTATCTTGTTAAGGCAGGGACTTTATTTTGTTCACTGCTATAATCTCAGAATTTAGATCTATTCCAAGCACATAGATGTAATGTGAATGATTAGAAATGAACATGCTACACTTTGCCTTCAAGGAACTTAAAGTCTAGCCTGGGAATAATAAGCAGTTGCAAGCATTAGAACTGTTATCTCTTTAGAAGTTTAGAAGTTTTATGTCAGGGCATGGATCTAAGTTGGGGGAGGTCAGCAAAGAAGATTTGTAAACATTTTAGGAAATACATTTGTACTGTAGTATTGAGGCAGATAGAATATACCTGAAATAAAGCAAAATCTAACATTCTGGGTTAAAATGTTAGCCAGAGATTATTATGTATGTATGTATTTATTTATTTTTTTTTTGGTACCGGGGATCGAACTTGGGTCCTTGAGCTTGCATAGCAGGCTGCCCAAAAAAAGCCACATTTTTTCGGGGGGGTACTAGGGATTGAATTCGGGACCTGCTGTTTGCAAGGCAGGCGCCAGAACCACTGAGCTAAATCCCCGGCCTATGTATTTGGCCTTTTTTTTTTTTGGTATCGAGGATCGAACTTGGGACCTTGCTCTTGCGAGTTAGGCAACAGAACCACTGGGCTAAATCCTCGGCCCCTTATTTTGGCTTTTTGAGACGGGGTTCCGTTATGTAGTTCAGGCTTCCCTTGAACTCATTGTATAGCCCAGGGTGGCCTTGAACTGGTGATCCTCCTGCCTCAGCTTCCCAAGTGCTGGGCTTAGCCATAGATTATCACTTGTATGCTCTTCCAATAATAATTACAAGTGATAATGACTTTATTCAGTATGTGTATAGCTTTTTTAAAGACCAATGATCTTTATTACAATCAGTAAAAATCATGTACCAATGATGAGCACACAGACACACACACTCTTGCTGCTAGAAATATTTAATCAGATATAACAGTACTAGTATTTTTCCAGGTAACAAAGAATTACCACAGTATCTCTGGAGATTTTTTTTTATCCCAAACCCTGTGTCCTCATGAGACTTAGCCATTAGTGACTTGGTTCGTGTCCTTAGCAGATAGGTGAGCTGGGATTTACACAGAGCCTTTGGAAGCCAGAGCTGTTGTGCAGGTTCCCTTTTTTTTTCTTTTTAAAGAGCCTAAGTCTGTGGAGAGGTCGCACATTGAGTTAAGAGTCTTGTGATTTTTTGTATAGGATTCAACATCTTCTATATCAGGAGTTTTTCTGGGTACTTTCAAAGGTGGAATTGTAGTTTTTGCAATTAAAGAACCTCTGTGTAGTGAAAAGTCAAGAAAAATTGTCTTAACTCTGATCATCTTTTATGTTTTCCTTAAGTTACTAAGTTCCATTTATCTTGCTGTAATTATTTTGTACATGACATGCCACAGATGGTGAGCTTTGGAGGGTCGGTTGGTGTTTTTTGCATGGTAGAAAGCTGACTGGAGTTGGTGTTATGTTGATTTTTGAATCTCAGTTTTGTGGATTGTGTGTCTTTTTGGGCAAGACTTTCTACCTTCCTGGACCTTGATTTACTCATCTGTGAGATATTTCATGAGTATTTTGCAAGAAAATACTTATGAAATAGAGAAATTATTCACCTTTAGAATTGCCTTCAGTAAATGTCGTTTGAAAGAATGGCTAATTAGAACAGTATTTCCTCTAATGCTGTATGTCTGGAGGAGTAGGTAGCTCTGGATTTATTAAGTCAAACTATTACCATAACATATTGCTCATCTTGCTGTTTTCTTCTATAAAGAGTTGTGGGCAGTTGATGAAATAGGACATTATAGTCTGTTTACATAAGGGACTGACAGTGTGGGAGAATGGTAGAGCCTTGCTCAGCATATATAAGGCCCTGGCTTCCATGGTCTACAAATGAAGTCCAAGAAAGTGTTCGTTTTTCAACTTATAGAGATGTTTGTGAATTTACAAAAATAGCAAGTGATTCCTAAAATATTCTCTCTTTTTAAAATACAAATGGAAGGGGTGGTAGGAGGGGAAGGGGAAAGGAAAGAAGGGAAAGAAAAATTATGAGAAAAGAAAAAAAATGGAAATGAAATCTATGTAAATAGGGAAGGGTGGAGGGGGTGAAGGGCGCACAGGTAATGGGGAAAAAAATAAGAACCAAAATATATCGTATACAGGTACAAGCACCCAATGATAAATGTAAACGTATTGTATACCTAAAGTGTACCAATAAAAGAATTTTAAAAAATAAAATAAAATAGAAGTGGAATGGTTTCTACCATTTGAGAAATTTCTCCAAGCCATAAAATCATTTGGCAATTGAAAAAGTAGGAAAATTTCTATTTCTTTTCCAGCCTTTGAATACTTAGATTTAACCAGGTAGTTTGTTTTCTTTAGCTGACTTGACTGAGTCAAATTTTCCAGTGTTTTATTATGAGAACGTTTAGGTGCAGAAAAATTGAAAAAAGTTTATCCTCCACCTAGATTTTACATTTTTTATAATACATCCATTAATCTGTCCACTTTTTTTTTTTTAGGAGGATGCATGTAAATTAAGTTAGAGATATTAATACCTATCATCCTAAATACTTAAGCCGGCCATTAGC